CACCTTGCATCTGCCGGCTGCAATGTCTGCAATGACCTGCAACTGTTAGCTGCAATGTCTGCAATGACCTGCGGTTGCTGGCTGCAATGTCTGCAATGTTCGAGCCTCTGGCTCGGCCGCTGCGGATAGCGACGGTTCCTGCACACCATCAAAATTCTTACAGTTGTAAATGGCTGTCCTTTTAAAGTTTAAAGATTTTTGGATGTTCAATTCTAAAATCCGTAACTTCCTTAATTTTAAACGGCTGCCCGTTTTAAATTTCAAAGAATTTTAGACTGTTAAGGGATAAACGTTTCGAGGTTGTTAAGGGCTTTAAAGCCTTTTAAGATCCTTTAAATCTTGAAAATTTTGAAAGGCTTTAAATACCTTAAAGCCTTTCAAATTTGAAAGGGCTGCCCCTTTTAAGGATCTTCAAAATTGCAAATGGTCTGGGGAAGCCCCGGTGCCTTCCACAGATCATCTAAATTTTTACAAACCCCTAAAACCTAAGACCCCGAAAAGCCTTAAGCTTCTAAATGGCTACCCTTCTAAAATTTTATAGAGCCGCAAAACACAAGTTTCAGAAGCAACATGCACATAAAAACACTAGTGTTTTTATAGAGGATAATATAATAGAGCTTTTGTATTCCAGTGCAGTTTTTACTGCATTTTTCCGGTGAAAAACAGAAAATCAGACAAAGACGAAGACAGGAAAACCATAGGTGTGGATCATGGGGGGGGCCTGACCATATATATGTACACATATGTATACATATAGGTATACATATATATATATAAATATTTGTTTATATTTTCTTTTTGATTGAATGGCATCATTGTATGGACGACATGGCCTGCTTGTGAAGGTTGTGTAAGCAGCCATGTAGGCGTTGTGAACGGTTCCCTCTCTTCACGACCACGGACCAGCTCCGTTTGCATTCACACACACACAATCACACACACACACACACACACCTCATACTTACTCAGACTTCCACATAGGGTAAGCTAGTGCCGTCTTTTCTGAGGATCTGGTGATTGGCTGTGACTTCCTCGCAGTTTTGGAGTCCCGCAGCGGACAGGCACCTGAGAGCTAATCCATTGAGTTTCGCTTGTGTGCACGGGGGTAGAAGCCTTCAGATTCATACAGCCTGCGTGAGCATTTTGCAAGCAGGGCCGTAGGACTGTAGTAGGCAAATGGTTCGGGGCTCCCATTAGCACCCCCCCCCCCCCCCCCCCCCGACGGAAAAAAAGTGGTTCCCCCCCACACCAGCGCATGCCGACCAAGGAATCACAAAACTCACCAAATCTGCCCCAGCAACTATTCAGAAAAGCTTCCCTTTTGGACCTTTCTCCCCCAGTGCAGGAGATTTTAATGTGTAGAAGAGCCTTCCAAGGTCGCTGGCTGTGAATTTCAGTCTTTAAGAGCTTCACACGTCTTCGCTACCGACGTACGTGCCGGTGACCTTGGGGCTTCTGCCGTGTTTTGCGATGTCGGGCTTCTTCTCTTTTTGGGCATTAGGGGACGGTGGAAAGGGCTGAGCATCTGCTGGGACATGAGGCGAGAGAATGTCAACTTTTGTGCGAAGGAGCGTCTCAGAGCAGGCTGGCGACCGTTAGTGTGGCGTGGACGACAAGTCCTTATCCTCATCCAGAGGCAGAAAAGAGCATACCCTATACGATGGATCGCAGTCGCTGCCGTCTGTCTGTCTGTCTCACTCCCTCCCTCTTTGTCTCTGTCCCCTCTCCGCCTCCCCCCCCCCCCGCCTCTTTCTTTCTCTCCTTCTGTCCTTCAGTCCTTCCTTCGGTCCCTGGTTTCGTTCATTTATCTCGCTCTCGTTCTTTTTCTCTTTCTTTTCTTCTGTTCATTTGCGAGATGTTTGGCATGACATGTGCTCCCTTGCTGGTTCTGGAAGAGGCTGTGCCTCTGAGTCGACTCGCCAAAGCAAGCGGAACGCCGTAGGAACGCAGCTGGCGTGACATCCCCGAGCTTCTGAGGCCTGACGGTTCCTCCCTCGGCATTGAGCACTTCAAGAAGGGAGGTCCTGGCCATGATTACACTGGCTACAACCGTGGTACACTCTAGGTTGCACGCGTCTTTGTGGGGGGAAGGCTGGTGAGAGTTAAACCCCCCTGAGCTCCTGGCAACCCATGGGTCGGTCGACTTCTCATGAGTTTTAAACCCCTAGAGGCCGCAACGGCCGAGCTCCAGAAAGTACTCAAATGCCTGCCATCCACCACCGAATAGGTTCGCTGCCGCAGCATGAGACTATAGGATATGGTCCACTTGTGCGCATTGCCCATCTGTATAAGAGTTTCTGATAGTTTCTGCAGCTTTGGTCCTTTTGCAAGGGCCGCCATGCATGTGTGCATGTATTCTGGACAGCACCCCTGCAGCTACTTGGTGCGCTCGTCGGGAGTGCGCGGTTGAGACTACAGTATAGTTTGCGCGCACCCTCTTGCGCAGTGATCTGCTGCTCCCGAAAGAAAATCTCCACCTTGTGGCTCCCAGTTCCGGGTGGGGTGGGAACTATGACGAGCTTGAAGGCTGCGTAGTTGGCCTCTTGCCGATGCTGAGAGGCAACCTTGAGCACGGATCATCGGAGCAGTTACCTGTTTCTACCAACGACAAGCCAACCTCCTCCCCCCCCCCAGATTGGGCCCATCGGCAAAGCCAGCGAGGGCCCCTGTGATGCCATGGCCGCCGAGCCTCAGGCTCACTTCGGAGGCAGTCCACCACGGAAGAGCGTGAGAGGGAGAGTGTTTCGTGCATTGTGCTAAGAAGTCCTAAGACGACAAAAGGCACTGGCTCGCTTAAGCATGGCATCTCGTTGTATTTTGCGAGCGGAATCGCGCTGACAGGCAATGTCTCAATGCGTACTGTGCAGCGACCAGCAAGGTATGGTCTTGGATATGGCTAGAGATTGGTATGGCAAAGCCCACCAGACAGAAAGACTTAAGGAATACAGCGAATTCACCGAAACGTACTCGGAAGTTTCAAAATGAACAGGGATTGTCGATCCATTCCCCGCATCGGAGCCCTTGATTTGAAGACGGGAAAGTGCTCAAATGCACTTCCAATGGACGCTTCTGTGCTCCAAGGGCGTGCCTCTGCATTACGCGAGCCTTCAATGCACGTTGGTTTTGGGGGGCAAGAACTGGAAGCGGTTTCAGCAAAGGGCACCGAGTTGACCATGGAAGACCACACAAGCAAGCAAGGCAGCACCGCCGACTAGAAGGGGTGCCCTAACAGCATAGAGTCTCTGAAAAATCGGGGGAAGTTTACACATCGGCAAAACAAGCCGTGATGGCTTGGCCTGGACTCAGACAAAACGCATGCCCACGTGGCGGATGTGTCTGGGGAGGCGTTTGCACACGCAGGTGGCCCCCGCATCATGTTGTGAGGTCAGCGTGGGCTTGCAAGTTTGCGAAAGTGGACTGTTAACCCCCAAGATAGGACAGACAGTAATTGCTTTAGAAAATCAACCGTCCCTCCAGCCCTAAGATACTGCAGGATGGCGAGGGGCGTGACTGGCAAAGTGCCGCGCCAAGTGCGGCTCGCACCTCGGCATGCAAGTTATCTCCCATGTCGGAGAGGCTGGCTGGCATGCTGAACCCTCTTTAGCTTGGATGTTGCATGTCAAGGTTTCGAGAATGTCTGACCATTTAGCTGTCAGCTTAAGCTCAAGCCCATTTCCGCGTAAGCCTTTGTCCGCCGCAGTGCGTGTGCTGAGGTTTAGGACACAACCACCCTTCCGTGCCATTGAGAACATCAGACCATGAATTCATGTGCAGAACTGGCCAACGCCACCCCAAACAGGGATCTGCACCAGGTGAAGCAGCACCCCCCGCAAGGAACCAGCCGTTCAAAGCCTCTTGGTTAATAACATCCATGTGAAGGTTTTTGGGTTTGATCTTTCTGAGGAAGAAATGACCTGACACTGGCGACAATTGGTTTGGGCCACAGTTAGTCCATGAAAACCCGAAAAGTTATAGGGACCGTGTCATGCCAGTTATGCAAGGTTCAGAAGGGCTCAGCAAAGTCATCTTTTGTTCGGACTCAAGAAGGATTCTGCACGTTAAGTCTCAGCACTGCTGTCAAGGCGTTATGGGCGCAGACACGAACATAAAGCAAGAGAGCTTTATAGGGCGTCTGCGGGGTAGGGCCCCTAAACCCTAAACCCAAAGCAAGCTTCGATCCTGGAAGCCTTCTGCCTCACAGGCTGACGGAGCACATTCAGCGGCTTTGGGATCATTTCAACATCCCCGATTTCCACAGGCGCGCCAGCGCTTCCCTCGCGGTTTTGTAAAAAATAGGACTCTGCCAATACTTCATGCAAGCCTCAGAGCCTTTCGAGATGGGGAGTGTTTAGGAGGGTAGCTCTTTTTTTTTGAAGCGCTCCCCAGACTCGTCCTAAGCCTCAGGCAGCTCTACCTCAGCCGCTACGGCTCTGGCGAGTACGGGCTCGACGTCCTGTTTATGGAGGCCGGCCCCCAGCTTTCCCCTGGCTTGGGGTTTAGGGTTTAGGGTTTAGGGTTTAGGGTTTAGGGTTTAGGGTTTAGGGTTTAGGGTTTAGGGTTTAGGGTTTAGGGCAGCAGAATCCTGAAGCCACCAAGCCCTCAGAAGAATGCCTTGGAATGCAGGCACAGGCACTGGCCAAAGGCTGCTCACCTGCAGGGGGCCTCAAACTGCCGCAGCTTCTTTTGTCTGCCTGGGCAAGAATTCCATACGAACGGAGTCTATGCGAAATTTGACCTTCTGTATCCCCTGTCGACCCCAACTCTCCCCAATGCACTGTCCACGCCCAGGCGCGGTATGGGTGACACACAAGCCACGCAAAGCAAAAGACAAGTGGCTACTGCGCAAGTTGGCCTTGGGGAGGATTCGGTGGATAAAGCCTTAGCCTTAGGCCTCCTGGGAGGTTGGGAGATGGCGAAATTGGATCCCCGCGTTAGCCAGGGGCTCAAGGATGGCTTCGGGAGGGAAATGTCAGTAAACACGCTGTTCCGCTTCTTGAGCCATGGAGATGCACCGAGAAACTGCCTCGGGCGCAACCTGGTTTTGCTTCATGCCCATCTGTTGCAGGCTGCTCGCTGTTCTTATGATGGTGGTCGGCTTCCTCTTTGTGCTGGCTGGCTTGTTCGAATTTGCGCTGATCATGCTCATAGATCCCGACTTCAACCGAAGTTCTAACTCGATCCTGATGATGGGGATCGGGGCGCTGCTCGTGCTGTTACCAGCGTTCCTGGCTTGGAGAGAGCGGCGGGTTGAAGGACTCGACGGAGTCGTATCTGTGCCTCCGATTAGCGCTGGCTCCTTCACCTGGGCATGCTGCTCCTTTGAGAGACTACGGCACCTTGGGGGCAGTGGGCTACAGTTCTGCCATGTTCATGCACAAGAAGGTCGCAATGCCACAGATTGGAAACGGACCAACCCCGTGTCCGTGCCTGGTATGCAGGTGATATGCGAAGCTGCGTGCATTTGCTGCCTGGAGGAGTTCCAGCCTAACAGCCAGGTAGCAATCTTACCTTGCGGCCACATGTACCACGAGGAGTGCATCGCACGCTGGTCCATCGCCCGAGCCTTTCGTGCTTCGTGTCCATCCTGCCGTGTGCGCTACGATGACTCAGCAGGCTGCAGTAAGTGGCCAACTCAAGCATCTGAGTGAGGGTGCAGAGAGTCAATACCGCGTAGCAGCAGCTTCGGAGGATTGGGCCTGTACCATTCGGACCCCTGAACCCCCCCCAACTCAAGCCACTCAGTAGCGCCCTCAGACCCCACACGACTTAAAAAGGCATCAGTCCAGGCCACCTTGCAAAATGCAAGTACCCTGCTGGGCAACACACATCCCCCAAGCACAGAACTGCTGCCAGGCGTCCGTATGTTGTATTGAAGCAAACTCTCTCACACCTACAGCACGAAAGCGACCGCAAACATAACACAAGGCCCATTCGCTCCGCTGCCCGATGATGCAGGGCCCGCGCAGTGCAGAAAATGCATTTTGGCGATGCCCGGCTCCCCCTGTTTCAGGCCCGAGGCAACAGCAGTTGCACATCCAGGGCTGAACATGCTTCGGATTTTGTTTCACCCTGAGGCAGCGAAGTCCCTAGGGCCCTAGGGCCCTAGGGTGTTCCAAGCTGCCCATGAAACTTTATTAATGTCGGTAGATACTCATGCTCCACATGGAGGCCGCAGGAGTTCGGGGCGTACTGGTGCCTTCGTTTCTTCGTCTTGCTTTGCGCCAGACGAAAGGCACCCAGGCCTCAAAATCTTCCAGCTCCTGTACTGTGGACAGAGGCAACATGGGTTCGAGGGCTCAAGGCTTCCATAAACTTCCGGATAAGGCGGCCTAAGGCCTAAGGGTTGAAGAAGGGTGCAGCTCTATTGTGCAACAAAAACGGAGGCCAAGTCTGCGTGGAAGCTGACGCCACGCTCCCAAGGCGCTTGATTATACACGGATACACGCCCTGCAGCAAAAAGCAAGAGCCTCTTTGCCACATGGGTTCGCGCGATGATGTCCACAGCAAGACGAACCTTTCCTAAGCCAACATGCCGAGCCTTCAGTTCCGCAGCCCTTCAAACTTCGCACCATTTCATGCAGAGCCGTATGCTGAAGGTTCAGAGGGCCTTGCGTGCCATCGAGAATCGGGAGGAGGCACCGGGGACTGGGCCAGACATCGACACTGGAGGTTCATTGCTTCACTACGTAGAAATGTAGAGGATCTTCTACAGTAGCGATTCGAGCTCTTATAAAGAACGGCTCTGCGTGCCAAGCCCTGAAGCCTGCACACCCTTTTTGAAACATATCCGATGCCTTTTCTCCAACTGATGAGTCCATGGGCCTTCGCTGCCTTTGCTCCTTCCAAGTGCTGGTGCCCAGGTTCTTCTTCGCTTAGCAGTGCTGCGAAACGCCTTCACCGATGCCGAATTCAAGGTCCCAGGCTCCCTTGGAAGGTGCAGGGATTCGGCTTTGGGGTTTGGGGACCCATTTGAGGGGGGGAGGGGGGGGGGTGCCTGCGTGCGGCTGTGTCTCACTTGTGCAAAGCTTTCCTCCATGGCATCAGCACATGCAGAAGTTTCCTCAGACCCAGCAGGTGTGAGCTCTCCGAGCAGTTCTACAGCCTCCGATTGACCACCGTTGAGGTCGGCAGTGATCCACCACAAGATACCAACTTGAGCACATTTAACTAAGAGGAGCCCCCCAGTCTGTGGTATGTTGTGTTGTACCTTTTTCTTAGCAACTTACAAAGGGGACGTAGATGCTTTCCTTTGTGCATGCAGGAAATAGAGGTTTCCTGTTGTCCCATTAATGTAGATGAAAGTGCGGAATACAAGGGGAATAGGAGCTTACATAGAAAGAAGAAATTTCCTTGCAAGCCTCTGTGTCCTGCGTATTCGAATAAGAAACCCTAGACAAACAAATCCAAAACAATTCCTCGCCCGTACGGGTAATCTCGTTGCCGTGCATGTATAGGGGGGAGGTGTGGGCCTGCGACCTCGAGCTTAGATAAAGCTGGGGTCGAAGCCAGCTAGAGTCCAGAACCAGAAGCTATCGGAAAATGATTGCTTTGAGAAAACTCTGTGTTCGGTTCTGGTGCAGCTGGGGTGAGGGAGTGAGAATTTAAACTAGTGCCCGCTGTCGCCAAGACCGTACATGCCCTGACTGCCTGGCGCCACTCCGTCGCCCCGCTGAAGGGCGCCAGGGCCCAGCCGAGGAGTTGTGGCGATTTGGAGAGCTCATCGGATACGTCGTGTAATCCACTCCCCCTAAGATTAAACCTCCCCCCTACCCCCTAATAAAGTGTAGCTAATACTAGGGGCAGGGGATTCGAGAGTCCAGAGCATGCTGGCATGATAATGATGCACTGCTTGAGCGCACAGCACACGGGGGGAGGGGGGTTGTTGTCGGTTCCAGCGCTGAGGGGCTCGGCTGCCGGATTGGGAATGGAGATGTTTAGAGTTTAATGTGTAACTACGATTCTGGCTTCTCGCTGTCGGCCGGCCGAAACCCCTCAGAACCCAGCTTAGGCCTTAGGCTTTCAAATCTGGAGAGACCTTCATTTGGAATTGTGGTCACCTATGAAGAGTCCTTCTCCCCCCCAAAACCAAAGTCTCGGCATTCCGCACGGCTGCTCATCAATGCTTGTGTTTCTCGCGCACAAGGAGGGTCCTCCATCACCATTAGGCTTTCATGTTGTGCAGAATTCAGAAGCACAGGGGGAAGCCCAGATATGTAGGCTAGAGTCGGCTCAGAGACGCCTTACAGAAAGCTGAGGCCCTACTTCCATCGCAGGACCAGGAGATCCGCTGTCTTTGTCAGGGAAGGGGTTTCAAAGCATGGGTGGCCCCAGTGCACCGGGGCATCCTGTATCTCAGATGCCGCAGATCCCTCGCCAGAACCTGAAACCGCTCCCTTGGGTTCATCCCAAACAACACGAAAAGTCTCATGGCCCGTGCCCCTCAGCGCAGTCGCCCTCGGTACTCTGAGCTCGTGGTCGCCTGCGACCACGGCAAGACACTTGATCTAGTTCACTGTAACGATGTCGAAGGGGTCCCTAGAACTTGCTTATAATGATAATGATTGGAACTGAATGCAGACAGAGGTTTTAACACACTGCTGCTGCTAATAAACATGTAAGCAAATTCTAAACAAATATCCAGTACTATTCTATTCTATAACAGATCTACAAGACATAGCGTGTATAGCATATCTATACATACAGAATATATGTATATATATATATATATATATATATACATACATACATACCGACACGCACACACATACACACATGCAAACATGCACACATGCACACATGCACACATGCGCACACATGCACACACATGCACACACATGCACACACATGCACACACATGCACACACATGCACACATGCACACACACACACACACACACAAATGTCAATTGGATTGATAGGTTTTTTGCCCCTGTGCGGGGTCCCGCCGAGAGACTGTAGAGCGTGGGCTGTCGTGCCCAGTCCTGGTGGCACTGAGGGGCCAAGTTGTCAGCATCTGAAATCTTACGGAGTCGAGAGTGTAGGGAGCTTGGCAGCTTCAGGTGGAGAGTTACAGCTTTTTTGGGGGCTTGAGGTTTGGTGGTTCTGAAAGGGCACCTAGAGGCTTTTCGAGGGCGTCGCCGAGGGGGGGTCCCTGCGAAAGGGTCGGAGGTGGGGAATCGTGAGTTTTTTTGTGTGTGAACCTCCGATGCCCCCGGCCGCGGCGAATCAGGTGTTTCATCGTCGGTTTTTCGAAGATTTTGGCAGCGACAAATGTTTGAAGCAGATCGGTTCGCTTGGTGTACCAGGCAAATGGCTCCTAGAGCCCCCTTACCCTCTCCCCTTCCCCCCCCCCCCCCAAGCCTCCCTCCCTCCCCATCGTTTTGCTTTCATGTGCCCACGGCCAGGAACACGAGGCGCCAGCTGGCCCTTCGTGATGGACGGGACGACTTGGGTCCGGCGCCCCAGCTTTCGAGATCAGCCTTATTTATGAGCATTTCCCAAAGCAGGGGCACCCCTTTGAAACCCCAAATAGAATAGAATCCCCTCAAAAGGGACTCCCAAAATAAACGGGTATCCCTATATTCGGAAACCCCAATTTTGAAGGAACCCAGAGAATCTCCACTGCCATTGATAGAGGACTCAGTTCTCAGCATGTGGGGGTATTGGTTGCCTTCGGGTCTCTGGAGGGAAGTGAAGCTTGTTGCAAAAAAGGCACGGGGGTCGGTTTATGATGGAGTCTAGGGTTGCTGAAGGCTTTGCATCTGTCTCTCACAGTCTGGCATGCCTGGGGTCTACAGGCATCTGAGGAATTCAGCTCAGTGACTGCTCAGGGCTTCAGGTGTGTCAAGAAGGGGGGGGGGGGGGGGTATGGGGTGCTTAGCCCAGGGACATGTCTGCAAGCGCGGGGGCTTCGTCGAGGTTAAATCTAGGCAAGCACGTATAGGGAAGTCCAGGCATGGATTCAGCGCATTAGGGTTTACTTTCTCGTGGAAGGACTTCTCTGACAGAAGGAAACCAAGATCCCCAGCGCGCTGCGTCAGGCCGACTACTTCATGTATATCGCCAAGAGTGACACCGTGGTGAGGCAGTTCGAGAATGTGGCAGAGTTATCCAAGGAGCGTCAAGTTGTTTCACGTTTTCCCTGGCCAGTCCAGATAGATTGCGCTCGATCCCAAAATGTTGCTGGTGGTGGGCATGATATTTTCGAATGAAAGATCACGTACGTCAGTACACGTATGTATATATATATATATATATATATATATATATTAATATATTCATATATTAATATATTAATACATATATATATGCGAGAGAAAGACATGTGTGTTGATGGTGTTAACAGCGAGAGACCACATGAGCCCAGCTGTCCCATATCGACGACAGTTTCGCAATTCATGAGGCCAGTAGTTCAAAAGTGATCGACTTCAATATTTCATGCACCCATGGCCCTCACAAGCACGCGGCCGTGAAGCAAGCAGGAGTGCGACCCGCTGCTGGTTCATGCTTCTGTTGGTGGCGAGCACCCAAGTGATTGCAGGGAGTTGCTGTTGCGTTGGCTCCCTGTACCTGTAGATGGACCCAGGGAGCACTCACCTGACGATTTCTTAACAGCAGCCCTCTCCGTGCCCTAAACTCTCCGTGAAAGT